TTTATTCTGGTCTATCTGCCTGTTCTGCTCCTTGCTCTGTCTCTAGTTAGTGCTCTCAACCCCCCATTATTGCATTCACAAATAAATAAATCTTAAAAAAAAAAGCTGAAAGTACATCAATCTAAAAACTTGTATACAGAAAAGACAGTGATCAATATGAAAAGACACCCTACTGAAGGGGTGAAAATATTTGCACACCAAACATCAGGTAGGGGACTGATATTAAAGGTCTGCAAAGAGGTTACAGAGTTTAACAACAGCAGTGAAGAAAAGCAACCAGCTCTTGGGGCACTCTTACACACAGCCTCTCTGATCTTGGGGTAAGAATAAAATTTGTGCATTAAGGTTATTTAAGAGGTCACAGTCAGAGATGAACAATGGCCATACTTCCATGTATAAAAAGTTGTGATGGAGGTTTACATCATAATTTGGCATTTCAGAATTGTAGGTAGTCTTTCTGTTTTGGTTTTCTGTTTATGCTTCTTCATAAACTTGGTGACTGGTACAAATCTCTTACTGGGACAAACTAATTTAGAATTAAAATTCAATAGGTTTCCCCAGTGTCTCAAAGCTGATGAAACTGTCTCTCCTGGTGAGAGTTACTTGGAGTTCCATGGGATTATGTAGGCCTTCAGATTGAGTAGAGTTCTTGGGGTCTCTCTGCTACATATGAACTCCTATTCTGAACACCAGGTGTCTCACTACTTGCTTCTTCATTCCTTGTACTTAGTCTAAATTTCATCTTGCAGTACTTGTCTGAATCTTTATTCTTTCCTTTCTTCTTATTTTTTCTTACCCCCTTTCCTCATTTCTTTCTTCCAACCTGGTACACACATCTAATTTTCCATTCCTTGCAACTCACTTGTTAAATATTTTCATTTCCTACTTCCACTCAATATTTCTCCTAGCTTCCTTCGAAATCTCACCATTTCTTCTCTCTCCATGAAACTCTTGGTGGTACAGGCCTCCTTTATTCTTTTGCAATGTAAACTCTAAAAGTCTCTAATTACAGGCCCTCCCTGGTGGCACAGTGAGTTAAAGCACAGCACTGTGAAGCTGACCTTGGCCGCTTAGCTGCCACTTAGATCCTAGCTCCAGAGGTGATACACAGGGTGGGGCAGACCTCTCCTGTTTTGCCTGCTGCTCACCTCAGCAGTGTGCTTTGTCAATCTGCCTGTTCTGCTCCCCTCTTTGTCTCTGGTGAATCCTCTCACTGTTCCTGTACCTCTGGCCTGTACTCCAGTACTGTATGGATAAATAAATAAATCTTTAAAAAAATAACATCTATAATTACCAATTGGGAAAGATCAAGTCTGTGGTACCTGCTACCTTGTTAATTTTCTCCTTATATTCAAGTGTCTTGACCAATCAATATTGTTTTTTGCTTAAGAATGTTCTGGAATGTCTGGATTCATGATGGTAAATATGGTAAGTCTGACTAATCTTTTTCAGGAAACTCAAACAAATCATCATAAGCTTGCTGTCGAAACTCTAGCATCTTACCAAAGCTATTTTGCTTAAACATTTTCTTTTTTACTCTTGTTAAAAAGTGTTCTTTAAGTGTTTTTATTAGACTAGAGTTGGGGTCTCAATTAGGGTCTTCCATTGGGATAGTCACTTCTAGCTCTGGGGTTTCTGGAACCTCCTGGTAGATATGATGAGCTTACATATTAGTTTCTTTAAAAAATATTCCACTTATCTAACATTAACATTGTATATAATATGGTTTATAAGACCACATGTGGGTTGAAAGGAGGCAAAATTAAAAGCAATGAAATCATCTCTCTTTTGAGACCATGCCAGTATGAGGGTGAAAGTCTTCTATTTCAGAAGATCAGTAATGGAAAATTGGGTCTGTGACCTTACATTTTGTCCCTGTTTATTGAATTCAATCATTGGGAATTGGTTCTTGACCCCTCTGGTAGTCAAGAACATAGCACCTCCCTGGGGACATGCTGAGGAAAGAGGTGTGTAGCAGCTTTTCAAGGCAAGACTCTATGCCCAGTGAACAGCAATCTTGATTTTTATTGACAGTTATGAACAATCACAATTGATTATAGCAGGGAAGCAAGGTTTAGGGGAGACAAACATAATCAATTTTATCCGAGCATGGTTCAGAGGAGAAAAAAGATAATCAATTTTGAGGGGTAACAGGTGGGTACATGTTGGCCAAGTGTACAGGGAGAACTTCCTGTGCAGTTGCTTGATGTAATTTCCGACCTACTTCCAGACCACCTCAAACCATGGCCACATAATCTGTTAGGACTACCTAGGTGTCCCTAGCTGCCTTGTGAAGTGGGCCATTGTCTTGAGGCTGTCATGCTGGAGTACCTTATCCAATTCTTTCACAGACATACACACACAAGTGCAGAGGTCCTAAGTGGCAAGAGACCACAACTTACGTTCCCCATTTTCTTTCGCCAATTTTGGTATCTTGTCTGGTGTGAGAAAGGAAATCATTTATTCATATCCTGCAGTGAGAACTGCAGAGCATCTGTAGACTCCCCAACAGGGTCAGTGCACTTTTGACTGATGTTACAGACTTTGGTAATAAGTGTAAGGGGAAGGGTGTTAGCCATCTTTGTGCCATCAAATGGTAATCTGAATCATCCAAATCTAACATGTTGGGGTTCTTCTGATATATATATATATATACACACACACATACACACACATACACACATACATATATGTATATATACACATACATACAGATGTCTATGTATGTGTGTTTAATTGCACAATAGCAATTAAACAATTGTTCAATTGTACATCAATAGACCATTTCCCCTCTGACTCATTTGCAGTCCATGCAAATACCAAAAATGTGTTACAATAAAAGAAACCAAAATTCTTTCTAGAATTTGTTCTTGTCGGTTAGAATTTGTCCCAATGGACTCATAGCCAGAATAGAATGTTGACTTCCTA